TATATATATATAAAAATTACAGATTCAATAGCTAGCTGAATCTCATTGACTGTTCTTAGATCACAGTGATACCTTTTTTCCTTGTTTATAAGGCTCCTGGGCAAGCTTCAGCAATAGCTAACTCTGACTCCGACTTGTGTAGATCCTGTACAAACGTCCCCTCGCAGTGTCCAACCAGCTGGGCTGGAGAGGGAGCAGCAGCAGGCTGTGACCCACCAGCCCACTGCCCCTGCAAGCTCCAGGAGCCACCTCGTGACATCCTACACACTCCCACCACCCAGTTCCTCAGCGCCTGGCAGCAATGGGAACTCTGGTTCCGCCCGCTCCTCAAGCCACAGGGGAGCGGGCTGGCAAAACCCAAGTGTCCCCAAGTCTCTAGCTAGTGTGGGTGACCCAGCCATAAAGGGCAAAGTAAAAGAGAGAGAGAGGGAGAAACACCAAATCCTACACCAGTCCATACATGTTTCTTCTCTTTGTGCATGGGAACAAATTAAAACTCAGATGTCTAAATCATTCAAAAAAAAAACCCCTGCAACGTGTATTTTCACTATTTGTACCTTTTTTTTTTTTTTAAATTATCTGTTTATTTCTTTGGGCAACGACAGCAGAGTATTTGGTTTCACATGCAGGCCGTAGCTGCTGCTCATAATGCAAACTTCCAGAGGTGCCTCTGTCGCTTAAAAAGCGAACTAAGTAAAACTCATAGAATAATATATGTGGAAAAGAGAAAAAACTGTTAAAGTAAACAGAAGAGACCAAGGGCAGAGAGTAGGTCAGATTACAAAGCCTGCATAAATTTTACTAAAAAAATAAATCCAGAACTGAATAGCTATCTAACACAACACCCCAAAACTGCTCTGTGCTATCAGGATAGCTGCAGAGGCAGTGCTGGCACTAACAGAGATGCTCTCCGCTTGATAGAGCAGCCATAGGCCATGGAGCGGGCTAATCCTCTAAAAGGGAGGCTGATGTTTCTAATGAAGTTCTCTGAGTAGCCCATTTGTTTTCTACCTACCTTGCTTCAAAAACACAGCACGGAAGAGTCTGACACTTGTGCACAGAGGGACCCCGTTTCCCCTGCCATTTATTTACCTGCTATTCAACCTACACTCTTCCTCAGCACTGAAAACCCAAAGCACACAGATTTGCTATCCATAGGTTTAGTTGCGTTTTTTCATTCAAACCTTTCCCCATCCCCCCACCAAAAAAGAGAGACCTGAGCAGACCTGGACCCCTAACCTTTGTCTATCCCATGGGACACAAGGTCAGACAAACTGCTCTTTGGAAGCTCAGGCTGGATATATAAAGACCCTGTTTGGATAGACCCATGACTAGATCCACACAGAAGAAAAAAAACCAAAACATGACAGGCCCTAAAGTACAAAGAGCTGATGTACTGATTTTTTTTAATATGTATTATGGCATTTTTCAGACGCTCAAGCCACTGGGACGAGGCACTCTCTTGACATTCAACTCTTCTACCAGATAGCGCTAAAAAGGGAAAAAAATATTGAGCTGGAACCTGAACAGAAAAGGAACTCATGCAGGAGGAAGTTCCTTCCTGTTGAAATTATGTGCAATGCACAAAACATCGTCTTTTCAAAAACTTTAACATGCTTGGAAAAACAGTAGCCAAATTCTCTTTTTAAAGAATCAGGACTTGAAGGAAGTATTGTCCAGCAAGAAAAGAAGTAGTAGGTGGGGAAAATTAAGTGTAGTCATTACATGCAAATATAAAACCAGAACAATTTTTAGCATTACCAAATACTGAAACAACCCCATACCCTCCTTCCCTCACCCCAAAAGAATAATAAAAAAGCTCTTCTCTTTGGAAAACAAATACACTCTACTACGTTCTTTTTTATGATGGATTATCTCAGGTTTTACAGCATAACTGTCTGAAAAACCCTCTGATAAGAAGCAAACACCGCTTTGCACACAGAAATCACCAGAACTAGGGATAAGATATGTGAAAGGAGTGGAGAAGCAGCAGGGAGAAGGCAGCAAGAAGAGAAAGAAATCTGACAGCATTTCTGCTGGTGCTTGCCACTTCCACGTGCACAACCGTAACAACCCTTCCCACTCGAAGGGTTGAAAGGAACCCTTCAACCCGAGCTGAACCTGCTCGCAGGCACGGATTGGAATGGGAGCGGTGGCCCTGCGCAGGGGCCCGGCCACTGCTGATCTCCTTGATGGGCAGCCCCTGCTCCCGCATCCCAGTGCTCCCACATCCCACTTCCCCAAGGCTTTTCATCCCAGCCTGCCCAGGAAGTGAATTCCCTTGCAGTCTCACTATCTGTATGCAAACTAGACTGGTTTATGAGTATCCTATCCCCATTTTGCTCCAATCTATAAAGATCTGAATTAAAGCACACCAGTGCAGAGTTACTGTCTCTAATCTCAGACTCGGTAATAGAAACTGGTCCATCTAACGATGCACAGTTGCCCAGAGAAGCTGTGGATGCCCCACCCCTGGAAGTGTTCAAGGCCAGGCTGGATGAGGCTTTGAGCAACCTGGTCTAGTGGAAGGTGTCCCTGCCCATGGCAGGGGGGTTGGAACTGGGTGGGCTTTAAGGTCCCTTCCAACCCAAACCATTCTATGATTCTATGAATGCACGTTAATAGGGTCAGACACTCTTGTAGCCACTGAGAAAACATTTTTCAAAGAAATACTAGGTATTCTTTCAGAGGCAGTTTCAATAAGAAACTGTTTCAACCATCTTTGTGTCTTTTGAAGACTTTTTCTTTCCCCTGCCTAAAAGGTTATTTCAGTAATACATAAATTACATGCTACTACCGAGTTTAATCCCGAGCTGACGCAGTATGCGCTGCTTTACGTTGACTAGAGATAAAGAGAGACACTCTGTGCCCCTCTGCTACGCCCCATTTTGGGAGGGGGAGAAGCAAGGAGGTCAATATTTTAATGAAAATACTCAGAAGGAAAAACCAGAACCAGGCAGAGAAATCTCTGACGACGGGCGCTGAACCCACACCAAGGGGTACCTGACTCCGCAGCACACGCGGCCAAGCAGCAATTTTTTGTGCACCCACTTACCACAGAAGAGTGCCACCATCTAAACCAAAAAGTGCTGGATCCATGCCGTGCAATTCATGGGTTTTACGTACACAGACATTTCAACGGAGCCTGCAGGAGGGCTGAACGCAACGCACACGGGTTCCAACATTTTTTTGAGGATGGCTGAATGGTGCTGTCTGCCCAAGCTGCTGGAGCAGCATGCTATTTCAGCATTAGCTTCGGGGACCGCGATGGTAAACCAGGCATTTGAAGCAGGCAACACTGGAATTTCAAAACACAGCAGCTTACACTCTGCTGTACCCTCCTGATGATCTGGGATGGGCATTTTGTAAATGCTAACCACTACAAAAAACTAAGAGGAAGAGAAAAAATTACCAGCCGTTCCATCTCCTGCTCCCGAAGCCGCTCCTCCCTCTGCCTCCTGTGATAGTCCATGAGGTCCTCTCTTCCCGAAATGGAGCTAATGCTGTTCTTACGCTCTCGCATGGTTGTCTGCAGCGAGTTTGGGGTCTGCCTGTAACTTTCCAGATCTGTGTCATCAAGTTCCACAGAACTGGTGGAAAGGTTTCTTCGGACAGAGAATGACCTGTCAAAATCCACTGGAGAGAAAGAACTACTGGGACTTGTTCCTGAGAACCCAAGTCTATCGAAATCATCACAAAGATATGGGGAGGAAGGTGCTAAAAGCATTTTTTTAGCAATTCGAGGGCTTGCAGGAACACTAAGAGTTGAACTGACGTAGGGATTGTTCCCAGAGACCGAGTTTGCATGCGGTGAAAACCCTGAGCTGCAAGAAGAAAAATGCAGGTAATTATCAGCATCTAAAGCATTCTGAGGTAGATCTTTTTCTCCAAGTTTTTTCCTTTTAGTATTACCCAGAGAACTTCTGGGGGGCAAACTTAATGGCACCAACTGGTTTTCTGTTGATTTATAAAGTCTGGGTAGGGAACGACTGTACATTCCCATATGACTGAGAGAACCACCAGAGTACTTCCTAGGCCGTGAACCCAGAGGCTCCATCATCACATCCTTGTGCCTAACTGGTTTTATGTGAAGGGCCAGGCTATCTTCCACATTCATCCTCCTGCCTTGCTTTGGGCTAGAAGGCATGCTGGCCGCCCCTGAATTGCTAGCATGTGAAAGCATCAGCTCGTTCCCTGAGCTTCCATTCCACATGGTCAGAAGAGAGCCCGAGATCTTCTTTGTCTCCAGCATTCCTGGGAAGTAGACATTGTCATACGATTTGTTTTTCTGACTGTACTTTGAGTAGTGAAACTTATCCACGTGTCCAAGATATTTTTCATTTTCTCTGCTGGCATGAATGTCAAAGTCTGTCCTTCCTAAATTGTACCCACCAAAGGATGTGCCCGATACAGAACCCAAATGCTTTACAGAGATGCTTTTATCTGGAAGATACGGGCTTTCACAGGGAAACTGCTTGCCTCCTTGAATTTTGGTAATAGAGTGTGTATTTTTCACACTGGGGGAAGAATTAGGTTTCACTGGCATAGGTTGTGAAAGTGTTAAATACGAGCCAGCATAGTCCCCATTTGTTTTAAATTTGAGACTTGATGAATATTTCTTCGGGTTGAGGTTTTCCATAATATCCTGGAGACCATTTTCAAGGGAATTTGCCACACATCCCTTTCCCAAACCAGCATTTTGTAATTCTGTCTGGTTTTGTGTGTGGCTATATTCTTCCATAATCTTACTGGAATCTGTAAGGAAGAGAAAACAACAAAAAAAAGTTTTTAGCAAGTAAGTAAATAGCCTCTTGCACGTGCAAGCCTGCACACTAACTTGAAAAGAACACTTTTTGAAATCATTACCGTGCTTGTAATAAATGTGTCTCAGATCATTCAGCAAAGGAGGGGATGCACAATTTTCCCATCTCTGTTTTTGCAAATGATTGAGCCTAAAAAAGGTGGCATAGAGGGACAATCACCAACTTCATACTACAAATCAGCAACACAGTTGGAAAGAGGCTAGACCCTTCCTTTGGTGTCTTATCCATTGCAGAAGCCTGTGGCCCAGCATTTATAACCTGGGGAGGGGCTCCTCTCCTGATGTTTTTACAGCCAAGGAACTGCGGTGCAGGGAGAAGATGCAAAGCAGGCAGCATAGTAAAGAAAGGAACACGGGTCTCCCAGGGCTCAGGACACAAAACACTGCTCTGGATCACCTCTGCTTTTAAGCTGTGCAGCTAGCGCATCGGAGCGCCAACATCCCAATGTGCTCCATGCAAAGCTCAGTCGGGGTCTGTCACCTTACTGCTCTCTCTGTGGACTGCCATGCAAAGCTTCATGGAAAAGTACAAAACCGAGGCCTGTTCTTCAAGGTGTTTCAGCTCAGTGCTCTTAAAACACAAAACTGTAACTACATCTGCAAAAAGCTGTGCTGGTTCAGTTAAAAGACAGCCTTAGGGAAGAATAATGCTGGGCTCCGTGACTTCATTAAAAACAACAACAAACACGTGACCCTCAAAAAACACTGACAGGGGGTAAAGGTTCCGGGCCCAAACACTTGTTCAAAGCTGTAATTTATATTCTGGAGAAGGACACTGACCAAAGCAGCCTTTGCTGTGGTGGATGTTATTGTTCAACGATGTGTCAAGCTCCAGCTTACAGTTCTGAGCCCTACTTCCCCGAAAGCAAAGAATTCAGCTCCTGACAGTGTCAGTCCCTACAGATCAACAGGACCCCCAGCAGGCTTGCACTTAGACTCAGCTGAGGTAGAAGTGGCACCATTAACATTTACAGCAGGTCCTTGAGTGCGCCAGGCTGTGCTTTAAACTAATAAAGCACTCCACAGCCTCAATTTCTGCAGCGCCAGCAAGCGCTGCTTCTGAAAATAAGGGTCGAACCTGGGATTTACTCTTGGCTCAGTCCCATTTCACCTGTGACTTCAGCCACCTCACGAGAAACCTCATCTCAGCTTGTCACTCAGCAGGGAACCCTAACATCCAAATGTGTAAAGCACCTTTAAAATCCTCGGTGGCAATACTTTAATCCTCTTCCAAGTACCACTACAGACAATTATATGAACCTAGACACAAAACTTGGATTCCTGCCCTCCACCACAGCTGATACGATCCGGTTTCATTGGGGATCACTAGGTGCAGGTATCTAGGGGAAGGTGGAAACCTATGCTGTGAGCAGGTCCTCATTTCTGGGACCCTCCTTGCTAACAAGGCAAAAAAACACATGGAATTCACTACTGCCCAGGGCATCATTCAGTAGATCTCTGTTGCACAGGCTTCCTCTGTGCAGAGCGTGGTAAGTCTTAACAGTGTACACATTCTCCTCAGTTCCTAAGGAACAAACCCATAAGTTTAAGAACAAAGGTAACCATCATTCATGATGTAATTGAATAGGCAGAAGATAAAAGGAGTCAGCATTACAAGGGGTGGAAACAAAACAAACAAACAACAAAAAAAGCACAAACCAGAAAAAAAAAAAAGAGAGAGAAATCAAACACCTTTTTGTGCATAGCAGACTTGACTAAGCATGTATTAATTACAACTCTGGTAGTGGCCAAAAACATTAGCTTGCAGCTTCAAAACCAAGCCTCAGGTTTACTACTACACAGAATTTAATATTTTTTATGCTGACTGTGATTTTATTTACTGTAATTTTAACATTTGCTATGGTGATACAACCATCTAAGTTGCCTTTGAACCAGTGCGTTCACAGAGCTCTCCATCAGACCATCACCACTGTCGCAATCAAAACCACAGTTTCTTATAATTTGACGGTTTACTTGACATTTTTTAGCTATTTTCACAACTTCTGATCAACAGCAATGATGAAGTTCAAATGAACAAAAGGAGGAATGTGACCCACGTTCAACAGAACTCTTGCAGGGACAAGACAGAATCATCTAGAAAAGATCAAGCCTTCGTATTAGTGGCATTAAAAGGAAGAAGAACAAGATGCAAGCGTTACACAAGAGCCCAGATATAAAGCACAATGCATATGCCTTGTTTACTTAGCCTTCTACTGTGGAACCAAACCTAATTTCCATCCTCGTCTCTCTTTCTCCTTCCATCTTCCAAACCTTGCTTAAGATTCAAAGCTAATCTCCTATCAAAACTGTACTGTCCAAATCATAACTTGAACACAGCTGAAGTTCAAATGTTTTTGCATAAATTCCGCTGGCTCCTATATAAATAGCTTAGCAGACACATTAATGGGACATTAATAATTGTTTATTACTCCCTTGCAACATCAGTAGGGCACATTTAATCCTACAAAGGCTGGATGCTTTTGCCAAAAAACAAGCTAGCTCATGGAAACTTGCAGGCCTGTTCACCACAGCAATGAAGGGTTCATTGTACTTGAAATCCAAACAAGTACAGTAAGAAAAGGTCACGATACCTTTGTGCAGCCACTCGGATTCAACTTTTCTCTACTACACCTTATGCCAGTTCTTCTGCGTTTTTGGCTCCAGCACCACCGCGCTCACAATCACCCGGTTAAACCCCAACTGGACGACAGCACATGTTTAGCTGAACTGTAGCCACTTCCCACAAACCAGATCTTGTTTGGTTTGTTTATTTTCAGGGTAATGTCAGGGATGAGACTTTATGAATATGCCAGGATGAGCTACACATCCTGGCTGACACTGCCTTGGCACGCAGCTATACAGGGACTAAGGCTGGGAGGACTAGCATGTGGCGTGCCCGGAACCCATCCTGCATCCAGGTCAGCCCCAGCTTTCGCCTGGTAACCTTCAGTGCACAGCAAAGTATTTACTGCCTGAGGCTACACAGAAAGAAATTCTCCCTTTTTTTTTTTCATTTTCTCCCCCATCCCA